AACAACCTAAACCTGCTGCTAACAACCTAAACCTGCTGCTAACAGTACGCCACCTACTGGAGCTCCCATTCAATTCAATGTAAACAACCATGTGCAGCACTTTCATTATGAGAAGGGGCAATTTGGTGTTCAGTATTTTGCCCAAGGACACTTCAGCATGTGGAACGGGGAAGACTGGGATCAAACTGCTGACCGCTTGATAAATAATAACCTCCTGGACGTAAACTCTGACTTTCTGCTGCTTCACAATAAAAATTAATTCCACCCTCTGCTGGTCATGTGTTCATCTCTCAGAGCGACCGCAGGAAGGCGCAGGCGGCGATGGAGGCAGCTTGGAAGTCGATGGAGAAGAAGGAGAAAATTCCGTGGATCAAGAGGGCGGCAGAGGACCAGAAGCGTTATGAGGTTCAGTACCAACATGTGGTCAGTGAGCCATGCTCCTCCCCCAGCCCTGACCCATCCCATGACGTGATGTTGTGTCAGTGACGGTACGTTGGTTGATTTGTGTTGTACTGACTGTTGCTCTCCTGCAGAGGGAGCTGCTGGAGATGAGGGCTCCAGCCACAGGTCAGACTCAGAGGAAACCCAAGTTTGACGGAGAACCAAAGAAACCTCCAGTGTGAGTGATTTAACAGAACGTGACGAGAACATGTAACAGAACATGAGAAATCAACAGATTAAATAACATGAGAAGTTTTGAAACATTTTAAAGACTTAAAATATTAAAACTCGTGTGAATTCGATTTTTTTATTGATTAATAATTATTGATAATAGTCAATAAATTAAACTTCTCACGAGGTTAAATTCGATTCACTGTAGTAAGCCCTGCCCCCTGTCTTCTGTCTCGTCCAATAGGAGCGGGTATCAGATGTTCTCCCAAGAGCTGCTGACCAATGGTGAGCTGAACCACTTCAGTCTGAAGGAGCGGATGGTGGAGATCGGGAAGCGATGGCACAAACTGAGCCAGAGCCAAAAAGACAAGTACAAGAAGCAGGTGGAGGAGCAGCAGGTGGAATACAAGGCTGAGCTGGAGGCCTGGGTCAAGGTACGGCACCACTGCCGCTCCGTGGCCCTGTCACACCGATGACTGACATCATCACAGTCAATAACTTCAAAAACTTGTTTTCCATTTGTTTATTCAGTGTCGATGAAAAGTTTCATCGGTCTTTCTTCTTCTTCTTCAGTCTCTCTCTCCTCAGGATCGAGCCGTCTACAAAGAGTTTTCTTCCTCAGTGAGTTTCTTTCACCTGCTAAGTTCACATAATATTTGTAGAAATGGAGCCTGAGTAACATGACAACTGTGTCCCGTTAGCTGTGATATTAGCACCACTGAAATGTTAATGCTAGCAGCTAATTTAACTAATATTTGGGATATAATCTGTTTTCATTATGTATCATTTATTGATCGATCGAAATTCTGCTAATCCAACATAAGCTAACACATTAGTGGGTTAATTCAGTGTTAAATTAACAAGTGTCATGTCCGTCGAGCATGACCTTTCATGACATCATCAGTGAGGAAAACAATAGAGAATCCTCCATTAATAGTTTTGTGAGGTATAGCATTAGCATGTAAGCTAATGATTGAAATATGAGTCAGTAAAAAACAGGTTTACATGAAAGACTGTTGACTTGAATAATTACTATTATAATGAATTATACAAACAAACGCTAAGTGGCTCCGTGTGTTTTCACTCAGAAATTTCAACATGTTTGTTTGTTGTCAGAAACGTCGCAGCACCACTAAAGCTCGCAGCAGCCCTGGAGCTAAAGTCCATGTGACAGCGAAGGGGAAGGCGGTCAGTTCAAGAGCAGCAACACCGGGGGTCAGCGTGGGCAAGAGGCCCATGGCGTACCGAGCTAAGGTAACACAGTACACAACAAGACAACACACACACTACACAAGAAACATCACAATAACACACACTAGGTTTGAGTCACTTTATTGATTGTTGTGTTTGTGTCCGTCCTCCAGCAGGACATGTCCGACACAGACGAGGAGGAAGAGAAAAGTTCGTCTGACTCCGATGAAGACGACGAGACATCAGGAACCACAGACAGCGACGATGACGAGGTGAAAACACGACTGATTGGTCAGAACTGTTATATAATTAATTAATTATTAAAGGGATAATTTGATAATATGAAGTTTCAGAGAGAAAACCTTGTTAGAGCAGAATCCATCTTCAAATATAAGAAGGTGGCTTGATCATTTTGGTACTGATTGAAAAATCCTTTAATTAGTTTATAAAGCTCTACATGGCCTTTTCAGCATGGCTTTCTTGTAGTGTTTTATCTTTATGGCTTTTTAGAATGAACACGTTTTATTTATTAGGACATATTTGTAGTTTTTATTCTTTCTTAAATATCTACTGCATAATCTTTTTATCTTGTTTTGTTATCATTTACCTGACAATAAATGTTTCAATCGCTTGTAAAGCTCTTTGATTGCAATTTAGCCGACACTTTCATCTTAAGCAAGGACGTTGAGG